TGAGAGTTAACCACTGCAGTGTCAGTGAGGTTGTTTTCGTTTGTAGGCGGTTTAATTCTTCATCACCGCGCTGAGCCGCCGCCAGCTTTCCGTGATCGATCCCGGCAAGGGAGCAGAGAGCGCTAACTGGGCTGCGCGAGAGTGCATCTGCGACGGCGTTGTCGACTCCCCTGACGTGGCGAATATCTGTCGTAAATTCAGAAATGTACGACATCTGACGTAGCTCACGTGCTGTGTGAGCGCCGCCATCCGAGATGGCGGAACGCAGCGCGTAGGTGAGGGGCTTGTGGTCGGTCATGACGAAGAATTCCACGCCTTCCAAGAAATGCCGGATTGCGGCGTAAGCGGCTAGCAGCTCGCGTCCAAATGTGCTATAGCGCCGCTTCGTCGGCCGCCATACTCCACCGTTTAGCTGCTGCAGGACGGCACCCACGGCCGTGTCCGAGGCGCTGATCATGACGCACTGTGGGATACCCGGTTGGGGGTATGCCAGGAGTGCGGCATCAGCCAGGCTGTCCTTGATTAGTCGAAAAGCCATCATCGCCTCGTCGTTCCAGTTGAGCACGCTCGCAGCACTTCCGGGGCCAGACAACAAGCTGTGCGGAGGATGGAGAATGGCCGCGCACTGGGGAACGAAACGCCAATAGAAGTTTACCAGTCCGAGAAACTCGCGGTGCTGGCGCCTCGTGCTGGGCTGCGGGAACTCTTTGATGGTTTCGACCTTCTGTGGGTGTGGTCGAATTCCGGAGCTTGAGATGACGTGTCCAAGAAATGCCAGCTTGTGTACTCCGAGCTCGCACTTTGAGGTATTCACGACGAATCCATTTTCTGTAAGGCGCCGGAACACGGTGCGCAGGTGCTCCTCGTGTTCCTCTGGCGAGCTGCTCGCAATGAGCAGATCATCGAGGTAGGCATGGCAGAAGTCGAGGCCGTGCAAGACGCCGAAGCGTTGAAAGGTCTGACCTGAGTTGCGGAGGCTGAACGGCATTCGAAGGAATTCAAACAGTCTGAATGGCGTTGAGATGGCCGTCTTTGGGACGTCCTTTGGGGCCACGGGGATCTGATAATACGCCCGCACGAGGTCCACTTTGGAGAAGATTGATGCGCCGTGCAGATTCGTAGTGATGTCGTGGATGTGTGGCACTGGATAGCGGTCAGGTACAGTTGCCCGATTCAGTGCGTGGTAATCCCCGCAGGGTCGCCAATCTCCTGGTGTCGACTTGGGCACCATGTACAGTAGGGATGCCCAGGGGCTGGCTGAAGGTCGGACAATTCCGAGCTCCAGCATATGGTCGAACACCTGACGGGCCACTTGTAACTTTTCGGGTGGCAGCCGGCAGGGCCTTGTGTGAACCGGTGGGCCTGTCGTGCCGATGTGGTGTCGCATGTCATGTTTGACTGCCGAGTCCGCTTGTGGTTGGCGCATCAGATCAGGAAACTCGTTCAGGATGGCAGTGAAACGTGCTGCCCCTGGCGGTCCGATCAGTGTTGGGCTGGCTTGCCCTGCACGGCCGCTTGTGAGATGGGATCCTGGAGTCTTCGGTTTCGCACATCGACAAGGAGGCCAAAGTGGCGAAGGAAATCCGCCCCCAGAATTGCGAACTTGACGTCGGCGACCATGAACACCCAGCGGAACGTCTTGTGGAGGCCTAGGTCCAGGGATAGCGAGCGGTGCCCGTAAGTTGCAATTGTTGCACTGTTGACAGCTTGTAGGGGGAATCCGCTCGGGTGCTTCCGATCGGCGGCCGACGCCGGGACCACGCTCACCTCTGCGCCCGTGTCGACGAGGAAACGAACGCCCTTGGAGCGGTCGGTCAGAAAGAAAACTGAGGGGCGACTTTCGGGCAAGGTGGAGGCACTGGTCGCCCTCAGTGCTGGCCCCGACCGTTTCCCGAGTGTTCGCAGGGAGGCACGCAGTTTCGTGCGGCGTTGCCGTACCTCCGGTGATACCAGCATACCTTCTGGCTCTGCTGTGGTTTCGGCTTTGCACTTTGGTTTGGGGGATGCACGCCAGATGCTCGTAGGGCCGCCACTGTGCTGGTGAGGCACGAGATCTCCGCTCGGAGCTCGTGAAGTTGGTCCGGCTGCGCTGGTTCCGCTTGCACGGTCGCGACAGAGGGTATTGCAACCGCCATAAGTGCGTCGGCTTGCTCGGCCAGCTTGGATAGGTCCTTCTCTCCGGTGGAGGTGAGCACCATGCGGACGTTTGATGGAAGCCGTTGAAGGAAAATCTCCCGAAGCAGGAGACTGTCGAGACCGGCCGCCGTGCTGCCGAGCAGTTGTTGCATGTGGCGTAGCAGTTGACTGGGCGTTCGTTCCCCGGGATCAGATTCGTAAAGAAGTTGCTGCAACCGCTGCGGTTCCGAGGGCGATACCCGGCGAATGAGCGTCCGCTTCAGCGTGCTGTACACATCCTCCGCCGGTGGGGAGAACAGCGGGTCGCGAATCTCGCTCGCCGTTGCGGGCGGCAGGCTGCTCACCACGTGGTGGTACTTTGTGAGGTCCGCGGTGATGCGCCTTGCGGCGAACTGTGACTCCACCTGGAGGAACCACAGCTCGGGGTCCGCGGTCCGAAATGGGGGCAACTTGTTGTCGACGGCGGCAACCATCGGGACGTCGGAGCTGAGTTGATCATTCATTGTGCGATTGAGCGTCGCGGGTCACCAATGTTGGGACGTAACCTGGGAGAAGTGATACCATAGGCGTCCCAAACTCAACTGATCTTTTTATTTCCAAGTGCCTGTTCCCGGGCAGGTCTTCCTCCTCGGCCTCACCTCCTTTCCCCGTCTTCTCCCCCGCTCCCCACATTCCTCAGTCACCGCGGTCCGCGGGCGAGGGGAATTCTCCCGCGCGGGAAAAGGGGGGACATATCCGGTTGGCAGGCTAGGCCAGGTTCGTCGGGCAACCACGCCCGCGCGTGGCGTGATATGATCACCACATATCACCATCATCTGACCTCAAAACACCACTAAGTGCGAAAGAAACAAAAAACATGCAGCTGCTCATTGCTCACCGCCACTAAATGTTATTGGTTGGTCGAGCCGTGACGTCATAAAATGATCGGGCGCGATTCTAATTGCATCTTTAGCGCAACAATCTACTGGCAATTCTTACCTCGTTTCCTCTACGCTTTGCGTAAGCTTCTCAAATTCGCCGAGGTGCCTGCTTCTTCTGTAGGAAGATGCTCGAAACTACTGGACTCGCAACCATTTAATGAAGATAACCCTGTTCTTTTTCTACACCCATGAGTTTCGAGATGTGAAACTAGTGGGTGTGCAGGAAGATCTTTTGTAAATGGCTGCTACTCCAGCAATGTTTGTCTTCTTTTCTCTCTCGTCATGTATCTTTGTGTCTCTCTCTTTCTTCGTGTATCTAGAAGCATGAATCACCAACTAGCTCAGTATCGACGACGCCTGATGCTGGCTCTGAGGAGCGCACGCGAGGAACCTTTTGTGACGTCAGATACTTTACTAGGGGAACACAGAACACTTTCCTCGTTTGCATTAGACAGAACGACAACCAATTTGGCGACCCCTTTCTCCCCCCCACACCCCTCGACTCGCCGCCGGAGCAAGTGAAGGCGATGCCTCGGAATTCGAGGTGTACGAATACTCGAATATACGAATTCAAATTGAATAACAAGTTCCCGAATAATTCGATTCGCGAATCGAATTTCTAGAATTCGGTCACTCGAATATTCTATATATTCGTCCAAAGACGCGCAGTCGGCGCAGAGCTGATAAAAGAGCCGTTTTTTTACAGCGGAGCTGTTAAGGGCTAGTTTCCTGAGGATTGTGTCCCCCGCAAAGAAATGTCGACACAAAACTCCAGACGGCTACCGCCATCTATGAGCGACGGCAACTACCGGACAATCATCTTGCCGGCCTCGCTCATAGATGGCGGCAACCTTTCCAGCCTTTCCACCCTGGTTTTCACCAGAGCGGAAATGCTGAATTTCTCTAGGCGTCGCCCTAAACTTCGTCCTCGAGGTCGTCCTAGAAGTTGTCCTTGAGGTCGTCCAAGACTTTTTGACTCTCCACTTAGAATTCTGCCTGCATCGAGCGCTTCAGATTTCCTTGTGAAAGAAGAGCAGGTTGCTCGCCTGGAAAGCCACCGCCGAAAACAGAAGCTACAGCTCCGCTGCTGTTCCTTCTTCACCAGAGTGGAAAGGAAGGCTGAAATTTTTTTTGTATGTATCTAGCACGGCTGCGCAGAAAATGCAATAAACTAAAAACCCAAATCTTTTTTTTTTTTTTTTTTATTGGAATTGGAATTAGAAGCGCTTGACGCAGTGGAACTTTAGGCGATAGTGGCTTCGCGGCGGTTGCAAACTTATTCGCGCTGCCGCTCGTTCTGTTCCCGCTCTTCTTCTCCCGAAGAAATGTTGCTGCCACCTATGAGCGACGGCAGCAACCAGTTGTCTGGTTGCCAAGGCTGAAAAGGTTGCCGCGATCTATGAGCGACGGTGGCAAGCAGACAACCGGCCAACACAACTCTGGACAGCTACCGCCATATATGAGCGACGGTGGCAACCAGAGTGTTTTGTCGACCACCGGTGTCGACATTTGTTTGGTACCGGACACGATCCTGGGAAAACTAGCCCCTAACAGCTCCGCTGTAAAAATGACCATTCTTTCTTTAATTTTTTTTTTTTATTTTAACTTTTTGTGCTTAGCCCACCGAGACATGGCCCTTCCCACTTTTTTTTTATGAATTTCGGACAGCAGGGGGTGGTGGGTGAGGACTCGGGCTGCTACAGTAGGTGTTGTAGGTATCAAATAAATTTGTTTCTTAAGGAGTGCCGGTACTTGGCTGGCCAAAAAGCTTCCTTCGCCACGTCGCTGTCAAGCTCCGGTGTCTGTCGGGTTAGCTAAGCGACGTGCAGTGCCGTGGCACTCGGTGAACTTGGTGAAATGCCATGTATCGAATCAACATTCCTTTTCTTGTTAGTCGGCAAACGTGGGGCGTCGCTCTACTACAGCCGTCATTTCCCCTTCCAGCCTGGAGAGGCAGTGGTGCGATGTGGCCTTCTGCCTGAGCCTGATGCCTTACTCGGAGCGGAGCATCCGCAAGCTGCACGAGCACCTTGCCTGTTACAAGGACAAGCTGCACCTCGACACCGTGTACAACAGCTTCGTCAGCATCCTCTCGGGTGAGCTCCCAGCTTCGGCCCGTTCCCCGTCGGGACTGCCGACCCAGCAAACCGACATTACCCTGCTAGGTTTCTAAAAGCAGCTTCTCCGAGGTCTCTCTGCTTTGTTGGCAGCTTATTACAACTGGGCTGGCATTTGCACGCGGTGAAGCCTAATCCAGATTCGCCATTTTCCCAGTGCCGTAGTTTCCGGACTAGGGGCCACAAACTAGTATACGTATTTAAAGGTAGAAATGTGACCGAAGTGTGGACTATCCACAGGTGCTGACTATACAAGAATTTTTTTTTTTTCTAGATTTCTCATTATGATTAGATGTAGCCAATTTTGCAAATGACGGAGTATGTTAATGACGACGTATGTGTAATACGAGCTTCTTTGTGAGCTAATAAAACAGGCATTTGAAAAGATGTACTGTGTACGGTAATTCTCTACGTTTAGACTAGGTGCCAGGTGCACACTATGTACCGGGTGTAGACTATCTAAGGGAAGCCCCTTTTTCAACCGTAATTTGCTTTTGCAGACAATTCTCCAGTTTTTGATTACGGTAGACACACATTGAGACAAACTCGCTTTAGCCGAATTCTCGGACGTGCCGAACAATGGGTGAATGTTTGGTTAGTTTCCCAAAAACGGAACACAGAAAATATTTGCTTAATACGAGCATCGGTCGCACATTTTGGTTAACTCGTGCGGCAGCAGCGACAGCCCACAGCAGGCGAAGACCTAAATACGGGGGAGGGGGAATGCATGACGGAAGCTTGAGCGGTCATGCTGAGAAAAAAAAGTCATAAACGTGCAAGACAAAGCAGAGGTGCAAGGAGCTGCTGCGTGCAAACAACAACAACAAAATGCATGAGGTGGTGGAGCAAAGGAACTGAGAGAGAGAGAGAGAGAGAGGGAGAGAGTGGAAGAGAGTAGAAGAGAGTAGGCAGAGAGCATGAAAAATCTCCCCAATCCCTCGAGCCCTCAAGGTCCCTGCGTGGTTTCGGTGGCATCTTCTGTTCGGGAGGTTTCGAGCAGTTCTGGGTTTCAATTGTTGAGGGGGGGAAAAGGGGGGGGTTTCGACCACATTTTTTTTTTCGACTTGTGAGCAGTTTTGGGTTTTGGTTGCTGGCTCTTTGTTTGTACTTGCTGTGACGAGAGATTGCGCTATCAACCAGCTCAATGATGTCGAGCTTTTCAGTCCTTCCCGCTCGTAAAGGAAGTTGAAATTTTAGGGGATATAAAGGGGGCTACGCTGTCAAAGACCAATTGCACGCAAGTTCGGCATGATATCAGGTATTGTCGAAGGTGGGAAAAGAATCCTGGACGCTTTCAATGGCAGCAGCTTCGCGCTAAAACGAAAGAGGATGTGCACCATTCTTGCTTGGATCCAGCAAGCAAGCACAGACTTGCCTGTGAATGGGACTCAGCTGTGTGAAACAGTGCTATGTTTCTTTTCGTTATAAGAAGCGAAATAAATATTTATTTTCAACTGGGCCTTTATTGTAAGTTTCTAGACTAACTCTAATTTAGACACATCTAGTAAGATATTTTAGTTACCATACTTGTGTTAAGCTGAACTTCTGATAAGCCAAACACATTTTCAAGTTAAAAGAAGTCTACTTCGGAAAATGTTTTATGTGTTTGTTAAGTATCGTTTCAGGGCTACAATAAGTGGGCCAGACCGCATTGATACTTATAAGAATCTACTAAGACAGTTTTGTGTTCTCGGACACAAACGAAAGTTTGCACCAGCTGGCTTATTCTCCCAGCTTGAAGTGAGGCATCGTGGGAAGAGAAACCGCTTTTTGACCACCATCGATGTGGTCAAAGCCATGATTCGTGGCAGGTGTTGTGCTTGGTTAGCTGTCCCTTGGTGTATTTGAAAACGAGCCAGACATGGGGATAACTTGCGTAAATGAGCATTTATTTCGTATCTAATGTTGTCGTGATAAGCGTAAAGAAAAAGATAAAAACATTGGTGTTGTGTTGTGCCGAGTGGCTCCGGCAAATCCGCCCGAGTGACGTCGACGAGCGCGTAGCACTCGGTGTGTCAAAAGCGACCAAGTTCTGGCGGATGAACCTTGCACTGAACTCATAGCTAGCCCTTCACCTTAATAAATCACGAATTTGCCATTGAAGCGGGAGGACAACACCAAAATTTTGCGATGCACACACGTTTGAGATTGAAGCGCACTTCATAGACCCCGATCGTAACATTCCCAAGTTCAGTTTCTTTGTCGACCAACATTTACCGCTGCTATCATTTACACGGGCAGACACCCAAATTGGAAAGGTACAATCGACTTATAGTAAGGTAGATTGCACCGCATATACCGTGTTTATGTAATCGATAGAGGTGATATTGGCTGCGTGCAGAGTGGGGGGCAGCAACACATGCGGCAAGAAGGGTGTTGGAACCCCATTTGGCCCGGTTCAGCTCTTTTCGCAATAGTTGCTCTTTCGGAAAGTTTCAACCCAGCCGAGATTGTGCAGTCTGGTTCGGGACATTCCTGGGCTTGCCACATGTATAAAAGCAGCGGTGATGCGCTGCTTTGAGTCGGTCGCCCTTTTGTCGCGGACGCAAGGTGCAATGTACCTTTCTCTTTAGGCTCAAGTTTACCTCATTAAATGTTTTTTTTTTTTCAGTCTTACATATGTCTCCTCTAATACAACATAACTTTTTGTTATGTCTTCGACCCTGCTTTAGACTGCTTCAGTAAAAGAAGCGTGAAACACACGTTAGTTTGTACACGCTGTATTTTGCTATGCCCGGGTTTGTTGTAAATGGGTTTGGCTGTATCTCGGAGCTCTTCTTGAGTCAATAAACTCTTTTTTTGTTATAGTTGTGGAAAGGGACTGCAGTAAACCATGTCTTGTGTGCTTCTAGGTGCTAAGAAGTTACAGACTCTCAAGGCGGACGTAAAGGTGGGTGAACAGAGTTGATTTGCTATCTGGACTGCCAGGACGTCGTTATTGCAAAAAGATGTGAAGGAGTCGGCCACACCTTTGCTCATCTTGAAATTCAGGTCCCTAAACTTTGCTGACAATCAGCAAAGTTTAGAGATTCAGCACACATTTTGACCTTGTCACAAGCGCTACACTTACTGCAGTACCTTGAATTTGGCCAGGTGGATAATCTCCCTTCTTCAATTTGAGGCTTACATTAAACCTTGCATTGTTTTTTTCCCCCAGCACATAAACCATGGTGTCATATTATTCTCTCCTGAATTTTACAGACTTCTGCAAAATAGTGCATGATTCGAAATTTAAGACCCAAGGATGTTAGGTCTTGCTAGACATTCTTTTAATGTAGGACTGAAATGAGCCACTCCTTGCCCATCTTAGCCTGGATGAACATCGTACCAGTGTGCGATTATGCACCACTACTGCGTGATGCATGTTGAGGACTCCAGGCATCAGTTGTACTACACTGGCTAACTTCCTCACCTACAGCATGAACCATATACAGTAGAATCTCAATGATATGATCACGGTTCATCCGAATTTCAGGATGATAAGACTTTAAAATTTCCTGCCAAAGTCCCTTAAGACTAATGTATTACGATTCGGGATAGTCCGAATACTTTTTCAAGTTGTGGTGGATCATACTAATGATGATCCACAATGAAAGAATGATGATCCACAGCGTTTACACGTCATTTAGGGTGGCATCACTTTGCTCCCTCAACCGTAGCAGGCGTTTTCGTGTAATTTGTTTCTCGGTTTTTTCTATGTACACGCCGTGCAATCCCAATAACCGTGGCTGCATTCCAAAGTTTAAAAACATGCCCACGTCCAGCGTTGCTGCACTATCTGTATTGTCACGGGATTCGAATTTGACTTGTTGGAGTAACTCGCATTCACCTACTCCAGGGTTACTGATTTATTTTCATCTTTCGGAGAAAAACGGGTTTTAGTAACTCAGTCACTCGAGTGAACATGAGAAATGACATTCGGAATCAGCGTTGATCAAGCGATCGCCAACGAGCAAGCATTCGCAGAACTGTCTTTGTTTGCACATGCACGTCCGTTGAACTTCGTGCGATTACCTTCAACCGACTTTCGGACGGACATCCCTCATCTGCACAGCGTGAGTTGCGACTCAATGCATCATGTCTGGGGGTTGCTACTCAATTCAACATGTTGGGAATTGGCCTTTGATTTCATTACCGCGGACGGCAACCTCGCAACTTTCGGATTAAGGACTGTCGAGGAAATCATTGATGAAGTGACGGCACTGCAAGGAGAGTCAAGTAGCAGAGACGATGACGGCGACATAACTATAATGATGAGATACCGCCGACGACTGCTGAAACATTGCATGCCCTCGACGTGCTGCGGCACATAATGAGCTCGATCAACGTCAGTGACGACACATGATTTGGATGTTACGAATGTTCTCCGCAATCCCTCGAGATTTGTATCATTGAGATTCTGTACTATGGCCAACCAACCTCACACTGTCGAAACATAATTTGCTCTGCATTCGATTCATTTTTAGGTCGAAGTTTCAATGACATATTTGTAGCCAGGTTAAAGATGATTTCAAAATATCCCTGTGTGTCAGCCCCACTGTGGAAATGTAAGCTAATTCTGCTTGCAGTCATGTACCATCGTGTCTGTATTGCTAAATTTTCATATTTAATTTTTTTGTGATTTTAAAACTATGGCACCAATTTTGTGGGAGGGAGGTTGAAGCCCACAAGATATGTAAATGCTGGAAAGGACTATTTGCTAATGTTTCATTTTTTTCTAACTTTGCCATCTGTGGCAGAAAGGGCCAACGTTTGCCGAGTTTTACCATATCCAAAGATCTTCGAGCCTAATTGCTACTAAACTATTTTCAGATGTCAAGTTTCTACCTGCTCGAATGTGTTCGAAATCTCGCTCAAGTACTACAGTAAAACCTCGTTATAACAAAATGGGATATAACAAACTAATGGATAACAAAGCAATCATAATTCCCCTTGCTTGCTATAGTGGGAAGAAATGGACATTGGCTATAACAAACTAATGGTTATAACAAAATAATTATGACCGCTCCTTCAACTTTGTTATAACGAGGTTTTACTGTAGTTCACTCTTGCTAGTTCTATCCCGTGACAACAGAAGTGGAGCATGATGCCAATTGCCGTTAGGTTATCTGATGCCAATGTACAAAACCTTCACTCTTGAGTGAGACCAAGTAAATTTTAGGATTAGACCCTTGCCTACTTTTACTATTAAGGTTTATTCAAAGAGCACCGTTGCATTATGTGTCATTTTGTTACGTTACGTATGCTTAGGACCCATTCGCAGAGGAGCGTTTGCTTGCATTTTCTCAAGTTACATTGAGCTACAACTGCAATGCAAGTCATTGGGATGCCCGTGCTTCGTGCGTCGCGTGCGAAGCAGCCGCATGAATTGATTGCCATGCTTCGTACGTAGCATGGCTGTCCCGGTGACGGCCCAGTCATAGCCCAGCGTAAGCGGATGATGGCGAACGGTAGTGTGTTGTGAATGGGGCCTTAGGGTTATCTTTGTTATCGTCACAAGTGGCGACTGGGATTGAAGGCCTCAACACTGCCGGTGGCTTGTCTCGGTACAGACACTGCTGCAGGAGCTGGAAGACTCGATCGAGAATCTGCGGGACAAGGGCGTCGACGAGGAAGAGCTGGTGAAGAGGACGCAGAAGGGATCCTCGGGGCAAGGGGGCAAGACGAGGCAAAGGGCAAAGACTTCCTGCGCAAGTAAGAGCACTCCGCCGACTTCTCTTTGGCATTCACGGTGATCTTTCCCTTTGTGCTCGTCTACTTTTCGTATGTGCAGCCGATCATCGCGTTCTATGTAAGGAACGCAGCTAGTAACCGGGTCGAGAAAACTGCAATTTGTACGGATGCATTTTCGCGTGAGGGCGTCATTGCTCTCCTGTAATCACTGTAACCTGTCCTGTCAATCACTGTAACTAGCTATTCGCACTCTTCACAGGAAAGTGGACGCACGGGCTTGGTTTATAGACAGTGTAGACTGGGATTCATTGCATCATGCCGTATCTATTGGCATGACGCAATTTTTTTCCCGAAAAGTTTATGTAAATTTGGGGGATGCATTCATCACATAGGGTTCTAGCCTCCGAGCTACAGCGCGCTCTTCAAGAAGAAAAGAAGCCCGGTTTGAACACCATGCGATTCGTGGCACTGTCTACAAAAGAGAGAACGCCAGACTAGCACGGGTGACCGATGGACAGCAGTGACCAGTCCTTGCTTAATTATTTTTAATGCGAAAACATTAAAGGGATGCTGAACCGAAATCTGGATTCCCGAAAACACGCGGCAAAAGCGTGCAACGGGATGCTACAATCTCCAAAACATCACTCATACAGCGATATCTCGAACGGGTGACCGTATTTTTTAAAAAAAGTGGCGCATTTGGCAGGAATGTTGACATCATGTTTCTCCGAGAAGGAGAGGGAACGGCCTTGCGTCTTCTCCGCCTCACGGCCTTGAGGGAGCGAAGCGAAGAGAGGAGGAAACTAGGTATCTTGACGTCACGCGCCTCGCCGGCCTGGTTCAATTTCGACTTCTTTTTCCAAAAATGCGGCCGTCCACTTGAGATATCGCCTTACTAGTAGTGTTGTAGGGATTGTAGCGTCCCGCCTACATCTCCAGCATTGTTTTTTTTAAATCCAAATTACGGTTCACCATCCCTTTAACTGTCTCATGGAGCGAGCTGACGTCATCTGTTTGAAGCGCAAAAACGGCTCCTAGTTTCCGCCGTGATCCCAGTAGGAGCGATTCGCCTTCAATTCCATTGGCTGGCGCGCGTCGACGGGGCTCCCATTGGCCGCTGCGCCATGGCCTCCAAGATCCCGAAGCGCGCGCGCGCTAGTATGCAGCAGATGACAAAGGGAGTGGAGAAGCAGACGACGAAGGAAGCGGACGAGCAGCTTGCATGCTTTCGCATTCACAACTGATAAGAAATGCTTAGGTGTGCTTCGAGTTTTTTTTGTAAATAATGTAAAAAATGGGAGTTTGGGGAGCATGCTACAGGTAATATTTTGTGCGTTAACACATTTCGCACAAGGATAATTTTAGGCAGACATGTACATGTTACTTAAAATAAGTTTTGTTAAGTTACCGAGTATCGGCATCAAATGTAATTGAGTTGACTAGAAATTCCTCAATTCTAAAGTAATTGAGTAAATTACTAACTACTGTAAAAAAATAGTGAATTACTTTCGAGGTTACTTTGTTGTACTTATGGTCTAAAAATTAGGAAGTTTTCATGCGTTAATGAAATCTTCTTTTAAGGAGGAATAATGTGTTGCATCGTCTTTTGCTGAAGTACGAGAAAAGGGGGACAATGTTCAATTTCCAACGTTTGGCTTTGTAAGGTAGGCCATAATGAAAGTAGATTTGTTAAAAACTATATGATCCCAGGCTTGGTTTGTAGTTATTTCCGGGGTTTTTCTGCCACTGAGCATTTACTGATTTCCAAGTCATCATTGTCAGTTCGCTAAAACAGTGCCACGTTTTCCGTGTTTCAAAGCTTTGCACCGCTTCCGAGCATTCATGATCGAGAACGGAAGCAAGAAAACATATTCCCTGACAAAACATTTAAATTATTTCTCCAGGCAATGAATGCAAAGCCTTGTATTGTATTTGATAAATGGCAGTAACTATAACCTTCATGCAAAAATGTTCCAGAAGCCAGAACTCATCAGGATTAAGCAAGCTACACCGACTTGACATGACACAAATAACACTTTAATCGGAACAATTTAATCGGACGTTTGGTCTCCTATGCGGGAGACGTCACAGTGAATCCAAGAGGCAGCAATGCTTGTTATTGTATTGCTGCCTCTTGGCTTAGCTGGTGATGTCTCCCACTGGGGAGACGAAATGTTTGATTAAATTGTTATTTGTGTTATGTCAAGTAGGTGTAGTTCGTTTAATTATAACCTCACGGCCACGCTTTTATCCAGACTTCACTTTTTTTAAATTTTTATTTATTTAGGAATACTGCAGGCCAATTGCGGCCCAAGCAGGATTGGGGGTTACAAAAGTGGAGTAAAAAAAAAACGCAACACCAGGTAATCCGTAAAATGGGAGAGGGGAACAGGGGAAAATAATGCAAAAATTGTAATAAAGCACATGTAATAGCTCACAACAAAGTTGGGAGGGGTGGCGGTAGTGGGGAACAGGAAAATAAAACACAATGCAAAGAGTTACACATCAAACAAACGCTCAATCGACTCCAAAACATTGTCAGATATAAATATGTGATGAGGTAGGTTGTTCCATTCTGTTATGGTTCTGGGAAAGAAGGAGTATTTAAGAGGGCGCGGTACCTCTATTTATTCGTCCGTTTCAGCCACCAGATGGCACGCGGCTCGAAACGTGGTTGAACGCGCAACTTCTAGATGGCGCCAGTATCGAGGTGTGAAAAGGCCCGCGTTATCCGCTGCGTGAAATAGATCCCGAAATGTGCCGTGTTCTCCCGGCGGAGGAAGTTTCTCCTTCCCTCGCGCGCGATTGGTATGTACGTGCGGTGGCCGAGTCCGGCCTCTGCGCTGTGTGATGCAGTGGGTGGCGCTCGTTTCTGTTCGGAGGTAGGAATAAAAATGCCGGTCCCCTTTTTTACGACGCTCGTTTCTATAGCTTGTTTTTCTTTTTTTATCTCAAGTGACCTACAGTACCGCCTGTTCGAAATCGTCCTTTGCGGTGAGCGATTGAGAGTCAGGTTAGCATTTTATTTGGGTCAGCACTACACGTTCAATGGAGACCTCGGGCGGCGATGTAAATATGCATTGCTCCCCAAAGTGTGTCCAAGGCGCGCAATGACAATTGGAAAGAGTATTGAAGGCGCGCGACCGTCGGTTGGTAAAATACGTGCGTTAGATTCACTTATTCAGTCTAATCATTTTTGCCAACGTCTTTTATCCGTTTCGACAAATGACATGGTCGAGTCTATTGATAACCTTAGCTAGATTGGACGTACGGAGTGTCCGGGCTTTAAATAAATTTGCTTCGTTTATGTGAATGAATAACTGTTTTCTCTTTTCCGTGCTCGGTGCTATGCAAAAATCGCTGACATGTTATGGTAGCTCAGTGTGGCGGCGTTTTGCACGCTGACTCGCTATTGCATTCGCTGTGCACAATATGTGTTCAGATGGAATGTGCTAAATCGTATTTCCGATCGATATGATAGATTTACTTTGCTACAGTGTTAATTATATTTTCCCGATTTAAACTGGTTCGTCCCTGAAAAAAAAAAAAAATAGTGGGCATACAACGACAACGCACCCACTGGGACCCGAGTCAAGGCAAGAACAACTAACTACTAAAAGGTGAAAAAAATCATGTTCGCATACACAGACAGAACGCCTCCATCGAAAGAAATGAATCATGCGCTTGTTCTGCCAGTCTCGTTGTGCGTCTGTCAAAAGCCACAAAGGAGGAAGACAATCAGCGCCTACACCAATCCCCTCCCCTCCCCTCCCCTCCCCTCCCCTCCCCTCCCCTCCCCCCCCCCCACCACCATCCCTAAAAAGAAGAAAAGAAAGGTTTCTTGGGCGCGCGCGCGGTCGCCCAAGCGATGACCTTGGAAGGGTATGCGATTGTAGCACGTTTGTCCCCCGGTTGTGCCCCTGTCTCAAATGCCACGGTCCGTTTCTCCCAAGTGCCCGTCTTATCTTCCCGAGTATCAACTCCGCAGTGATTCTGAATCATTCCGATGCTTTCCAACATTGCAAAACTGTTAGACGAATATTTGCACAGAAGTATACTCTGTTCGCAGAACTATCTACGGCGCTAAAATTCAAAAGCGCCGAGTTGGATTCGGGAACTCGTGTAGGTTTAGCTCATTGTTGGAACATTCTTATTCGCTCGATGAACTCCACAAAACGTGTAAATATTAGAATGAACTTTCCAGAGAACGATAGTTGTTGTCGGGGTTCCAGGCGACCGAACAGGTCGCAATTATTGGCTGATTAAAAATTTTATTTCATAATCACAATCGTATCATCAAGGGCACGCCATTTCCTCATCACTTCTTCTACGAAAAGAGTTGCTGTATTCGTAGCACACACAGACGGAAACGGTTGAGACTGTGCCCAAATAATATCTTCTTTTGGCAGGTACTGCGCAGCGATTACACACAATGCCTCTAACATAAACATGCTGCTCCACATGTCTATTCACAAGGTGCAATACATCGTTCTACCAACTTTGTCGAAATGGGCATGAAAGCGCGTAACCGTCACTTTTTTGAAGTTCTACTTAGAGGTGAAGTGTTTACCGTAAAAAGTCGTTAATTATTTATTTTTTTCCGTTCCACTACAAAGCTCGATTCACTTAAATTTTTGTTTTTATATTGTCTCTACAGCGCTTTTACGTCGGTACTTTCGTGTTAGAGGACATCACATAATGTGCGAAAAAAAAAAAAACCAAAAAAAAAAAACCGGTAGGATCGATGCTGCATAGCCTTTTTTTTTGTGGACATCAAGAAAAAAAAAAGATAGTAGTTGTCTTCACTTCGCACTGCATGTTTTAGCACGGAAGTTCCTATTTGGTTATGATGTCTTTACTTTCTTAAAAATTGTATACAGTAATTTAAATTACCGAATTACAAAAACATCGAAATTGTATAATTGCTTTTCGTTGGGACGCCATGACGACAGCGACACTCATGTTCCCTCGTGGTTTTCGCCAGCATTTCTACGATGAATTGCCAGGATCGCGAGATACAA